AAACCCCCCCTTCCCCCTCCCCCCCCTTGGCCCGTACAGCGGCCCCGCCGTGGGCGACGGTTCCTCTCAGGCCCCTTGGGCGGGAAAAGCCGCCTGAGGAAAAAGGGGGCTGGCGGCCGGGGGCAGTAGTCCGTTATGGCCCCGGGCTGCCCGGAGCCTCACCCGCTGCCACGCCGCACCCGGGAACAACGAGCAATGACCCAGGGGTTAATTTTTTTTTTTTTTTTTTTTCTCTTCTTAATCTTACAGTGACTCAGCCATCCGCCTGCCTCGGCCCGTGCGGGCTCAGGGGTGCCCGGAGAGCGGCCACAGCCATTAGTGTCACCTCCTGCTCTGCTACGGTTTTGCATTTCTTGTAACCGTATTAAAATATTTCCCGTCAATTTTCTGAATTAAAGCGTCAAAAGCTATCGCTCCCAAACATTTCCTGACTATAAGCACGCCAGAAGTAACGAAGTGCCCTCTGACAAAGAGCTAAAGCATTCTGAAATGCAAAATTTAGCACCCTTAAACTAAGTTAGCATAAGTTAGTGAGGAGATGCGAGCTTACACCAGAAGTGTTAAAAGCCGTGCCTGACAGTCTGTGGTTCCCACATGCCACGTTGAAACTACAACAGCTTTTTCTGTCATGCAGTGCCAGCAGCCATAGGTGGTGGGTTTAATAAAGCATTTAAGGAAATTTGGATCTAGTTCGTAAAAATCCTCTCAGGAAAAGCTTTTCTTCCCATGAAAAACTGACAAAGAATATGGGAAAGGAAAAAAAACGACAGAAGTAGGGTGGGATTAATCGAAACTTCCATATTGCCATTAGCTGGGAGGGGTTTGTTGCAAGTTTTCCAACATGGACTCTAAATTTTCTCTAGAGATATATTTATAAGACTCATTAAGAGGATTTACATTTAGAATCCGAAGAAGAGAGAGTCACAATCCCACAGAAAATTAGCCTGGTTTTTAATCAGATCTAAAACTGCATTTTCCTGCTAGAAGACTTGGTATCATTAGGAGGTGCCATACAAAAACAATAAAATGTCTGGGGTCAGGGGAAACGACCTCTCAGGAGGTCTGTATTTGCTGTCGGTCTGCTTCCACAGCAGATTTCTCCCCTTGAAGAGCTAATAAAATTTCCTCGTATCAGGATGAGGTTTCTGAATTTGTATTTTGTATACATAGCTGTGTTCTTTCGGATTCGTTTAGCCTCATCAACAACAATAAAGATACTGAATCAGAACAAGCTGGCAATTTTGTTGATGAAACATGGGAGAGAGCGGACTCCAGCTGGCTCTTCAGCAGATATGTTGGCCAGTTGACAGGAATAAAACTGCAAGAAACCTGACACAGAAAACACACGCGGCGAGAGGAGACAGACAGCAGAGGCAGGCAGGTAGGCAGGCGCTGCACAGCACCTGTTCGCTGGTTTTGAGTCCAAGACAGTGGCTTCCCTCCACTGAACTGGCTCCGAGTACACCAGTTCGTGCCAGCTTATCCTACCTCCTTTCAAATGCTTCCAATGTTCCTTGCAGGGGGCAGACATATGCAGTCCCAGGCTGCCATTTTAGTCTTTCCTGCTCACTTTGTGCTCTCGCTGCCTGTTTCTGAAAGGTTGAGGAGAACCTGGGAGTCCTGGTGCTTTAGCCACTTTTCTTAGACAGTAGATATGGAGGGACGGGAGGTGCGTGGTTTCACCCCCAAAATACAGCTATTAAGGGTGTCTGCCTCTCAGATCACTGCTAAAAATTACAGTGGAGCAACGTGGTAGCTGTCCCCATCCATTTTCCACTATCTCAGGGCACAGCTCAAATTTTACGGTAGCATTTTGTAATTCTCCCACTTACATGATATGCAGACTGCCGCACAGCTCAGACACCCAGCCCAGCTTCAGCAGTCTAGACAAGACAGCGTGGAGCTCGCACAGGCTCGTATACCCCCGCCGAACCCGCAGGCACATGCAGAGCAGCCCCCGCGTGAGCACGGGTTGTGCAGGTGCATGGCTACAGTCCCACCCACATGTCAGGACATATGACAATGCACTGCCTTGCACAGTGACAAGGCCCCAGTGTGAGGCTGCTCGCAAGAAGAAGGACCCATTCCCCAGCTGCTGCACAGCTCCAGGAGCTTGGCAGATGCGTCTGGTCAGCGTCTGGCTCCTAGGACCAAAGAGCCAGAGTGCCACAACATCCCTGTCTCATCAGTAAATCCATGTCCAGAGCCACACCACGAAGGGTGAAACATTTCTGTAGCTCGGTGTGTTATCTTACAAGTCCAGCTAAGTTGCTCAGCCTAAAACTTTTGCAGAGATTCTGCTGCTAGGTGCTCACAAAGTAACTCAGTAGATCTGAAATTATTACTAGCGTAATTCCCTTGTTCTCAGGGAGAGCTATTCATGAGCATAAGTCATTATTACCAGTATATGTTGCAGAAGAACTGGAGCCATATTTCTTTCATGGGTCCCCTATGTCAGTCCTGACCTAGAATGACTTTAAAATAAATATTCTCTGAACGCTTTAGTTTCCAATTAAGTCTAGCTCCAGCAACAGCCCTGCATTACTCCTCATCAGAAATCGAAGCAAATGAAAGAAAAAGAGCTGTATCCCAACTGTGCTTACTGTTGTACAAGCCTTAGTACAAACTGAGCTAGAATAGTCCAGAACTTGAATCAATTTTGCAATGCCGTCCAATCCTTTGAAGGTTGATAGCCTGCCATGCAATCATTTACCTTCATACTGGGTCATTATCTTACCAGAAGGAAATGGAAATCTGATGCATAGCAAAGCAAGACACTGCTGTAATACCTGTATATTATATGCCAACAGTTTTTACTTGGAGGGAAAATTATCTGTGTGTCAGCAAAGTATTTGCTTTTGGTTTTAGTTGTCCATCTACAAACAAATTATTTGATATACTCTCCTGGACTTGGAAGTGCTCAATTTTTTGTCTTAAATGGATCTTATTGATACCTTGCAAAAATATTGACAAACGTGAGTCCTTTCAACACCAAAGAAGAATTAGCAAACAGTACCATTTCCCAGCTGGTTGCTCTGCAAAATGCTTTCCTTTCCTGCATATTTAATCCAGAAACAGAGACATGTCCCCAGACTGCGTCTTTACTTTGTTCCTTTTTTCCAGCCTTATAAAATTTTCTAACAAACATTCTGTTTCAGGATGGCCAGCACAAGACACTTGGCCGTGTTGGACATCCATAACTCTCCATGGAGGCTCTCGAATCAGCAAGTACCCAGTTCTTCTGACTCACGGTGTACAAAAGGGCACCTAACAATCAAAGTCCATTTTTAAAGCTTTGCCCTGTATTATCAAATGAAGCTTCACAACACTCAAGAAAACAAGTGAAAGAATCTATTTTACGGAAACAGAAACTCCAGCACAGAGAAAACCATTCATCTTTTCAAAGACTGTCTGCCATTACTAGACACATATGTAAGGATTTTTTTTAAACTGAATTCAATATCAAAGGCACATGTTCTATGTAAATGTCAGACATTTTTACTCATTTTTCTACCAGGGTTCTGTGATTAAAATAATCATTTACAGCATAAGATTTTTCTCCTACCTTTGAATACTTTTTGGATCTGAATCTTGGTTTTGGAAGATCTGTCTTTAAAGTAGAGATCTAGGAATATGGGGCAAACGTGGCTTTTAAAGGCTTGTTCACATTTTAATTGCATGGTTGCAGACTTAACAGGAGATAATTCCCTTCTTGAAATTCAAGACATTGAAAGGTTAATTCAATCTTCTCAGTTCCATTTCCTTCCTTCTGTTCCCCTTCCCACACTCCCCCCCCCCATCTGTAGACAGCTGAGTTATTTGAATTTTATGCAAGCTAGTATTCATCCAAAGGGAAAAATCATTCAATGTATGCATCAGACAAGCAAAATTACAATATTGCACACTTTCGGTTTTTACTTCCTATTGGCTTTTCTCTGCACTCACCAGTTTGGGCTGCAGACAGACGTGAACTGATGCCCTAAAGCTAGTCTCCACTTAAAAGTTAACTTGAATTAAAGCTTGAATATCCCTACCATCCCTTTTGAACTCCTGTTTGTTGCGCTCACAAGGATCTATACTGGAGCTGCTGTGGTGCTTTTACCTTGAGTTGGGGAAAGGCTACAGTTCAAGTTAGCACAATTTATCTGCTGCCAACACAATCACTCTCTGCCGCTCCCATGGTATTTCATGGTGTGGTCACTCACACTGAAAGTATACTAACTCCAGAGGAGTCAGTCTGAGTGTACAGAGCTCAAGTTAACCCTGTTATGAAGACATAGCCTTAATAAGACTGTAACTGATTTCTACACTTTATATTTATTTGCAAGGAAAAAAGCCATAAAAGTGGTCATTGAAAACGTTCTAGTTTGGTCAGGTTCTGAAGAGATAGCTGTTCACTTCAGATGCCGTGAGAGGAAAATAGTCGCCCCCCCCCCTTTTTTTTTTTTTTTTTTTATATTTTAGAGAAGCAAAACGGCATTTAACATAGCATACTTGCAGTTTTCATTTAAACGGGCAGAAGTTAACAGATGTGGAACTTGCTCATTACCACTTTCTTACATAATTGTTGACCTTGTACATAGTGTATAATACCTATGTGTTTGCTTACTCTGGATAACAGCTTATAAAATTGGAAAATGATTTTTGGAAAAGATGAATCCCTTCAAGTAGAAATACAAGTTTTTATTCTGGAAATTGCTCACAGAGATCAGCTAGAAAAGATACTTTGCTGCCTTAGTCTGTTCCTCTGCTACAGCAGCCTTGTTTCTTTAAGCAGCTGAAAAACTTCAGGGTTTATCT